AAGAATAAATTCCCAGGTCTGGTGCTGTGGCACAGAAGGTTAACACCCTGGCCTGAAGCACCAGAATCCCATAGGAGCGCCAGTTCGAGACCCGACTGCTCCACTTCTGATCCAGCTCTCGGCTGTGGCCTGGGAAAGCAGTAGAAGATGGCCCAAGTCCTTCGGCCCTGCACCTGCCTGGGAAACCTGGAGGAAGCTCCTGGCTCCTGGCTTCAGATTGGCACAGCTCCAGCCATTGCAGCCATCTGGGGAGTGAACCATTGGATGGAAGACCTCTCTCTCTTTCTCTCTGCCTTTCCTCTCTCTGTGTAACTCTTTAAAATAAGTAAACAAGTATTTTTTTAAAAAATAATAAATTCCCGACTTTGACATGTCTGTCCTTAGAATTATTAGAGCCACACAGATGATCAGAATCACAATGAAACTGTGTGCTAAATTCTTCAGTATGGCATGTTTGAGGCTGGTTGTTTTTGGACTTTTGTTAAGCAACACTGACATTCACATGGGAAGAACTGAGGTAGGCAGTGCTTTGGAAATACAAAATGTAATGAGACATGGGTGCTCAGTGTTACCAGATTCTCAGACGAACCAGAAACCAGAAATCCATTTTTTGTTCTTGGTGGTGGTGAAGGGAGTATGTTTCTATCAAAAAAAAAATCTTTTTTTTTTTGAGTTTTAAAAAACGTTTTAAAGACCAAAGAGTATCTACCATTCTTGCTAACTGACCAAGGTTTATTTGGTCATATAGAATGCTTAGGTTCCTTTCCATGGATAATTACAGCCCACGAGACATCAAAGTGGGAGAGGATTAGTTTTTTCCTTATTATCTGCCTAAGACATTATAATGTAGGTCAATTTAGGCCAATTTCTGATGTGTATGACGATAGCTATATAAGCAGGATGGAACTCCAACTATGTCATATAAATATATATTAAAGTATTAATTAATTAATTCATTTATTAATTAGAAAGAGAGAGCTTCCATCTGCTGGCTCAGTCCCCAAATGATTACAAAGACTGGTGCTGGGCCTGGCCCGAGCTGAGAGCTGGAAGCTCAGTCCAGTGTGAGTGTCAGGGACTGAATTATTTGATCTCTGTCCTTGAGGTGCTTTTATTATCTCCTTGCATGAAAGGTTCACATAGGCAGGCATAGCATCATTCCTAGGCTAAATCCTACAACCCTATAGAATTCTTATCTTTTTTTAAGGTTTATTTTATTTAAAAAGCACATTTAGAGAGAGAGAGAAAGAGGGAGAGAGGAATAAAGGGAGAAAGAGAGAGAGAGAGAGAGGTCTTCCATCTGCTGGGTCATTCCTTAAACAACGGCTAGGGCTGGGCCAGGCTGAAGCCAGGAGCCAGGAGCTTCTTCTGGGTCTCCCATGTGGGTGCAGGGGCCCAAGCACTTGGACCATCTTGTTGCTGCTTTCCCAGGCACATGAGCAAGGAGCTGAATTGGAAGTGGAGCAGCCGGGACTCAAACCAGTGCCCATATGGTATAATGGCATGGCAGGCGGTGACTTTACTCCCTATGCCACAATGCTGGCCCCAACCATATAGAATTCTAATGGAAGATATTAGGAATCAAATTTCAGGCTTGATAGATTCCTATAGTCTATTCATGAGAGAGTGATAAGAACCTCTAAAATGTTTTAGTCAATCCACATATTTTTAATAATTCTAATTTTTAGAAAGATTTATTTATTCATTTGAAAGGCAGAGTGACAGAGAGAAAGAGGGAAAAACAGAGAGAGATCTTCCATCCATTGGCTTCTCCATAAATGGCTGCATGGCTTGGACTGGGCCAGTCCAAAGCCAGGAGCCAGGAAGTTCATCCAGGTTTCCCACATAAAGTGGCAGGGGCCCAAGTACTTGGGCGATCATTTGCTGCTTTCCCAGGTGCATTAGAAGGATGCTAGATTGGAAGAACAGCTAGGACTTGAACTTGCACTCAAACATGAGATTCAGGTGTTGTTGGCAGTGGCTTAACCTGCTTAGCAACACTACCAGCCCTTAAATAATTCTAATTTTTAAATGAGATTGTATTGCTAACATGTGTGATACTTTTGAGCAAAACTCATCTTTGACATTCACTATACTGTTTAGCAAAGCATGTGGCTGTGGATCAGGATAGTGGTAAGAGACGGCCTCATGATAGCTGCTTCTGCTTCTTGTGGGTGCCAGCCTGAACACATCTGGAGCATGGAACTCTCAGCTTTGGCAACTAGAATTGAAGCTTAAACCAGCCGATTCATAATGCTATATTGTGTATGCTGAAGTAGGTGATGGTCCATTAGAGCAATCATGGGACTAGTCCAATTCCAGCCTTTGGAATGCTAATTTGTAGCCTTTGATATAGGAATTTGTACCCACTTTCTAGGAGTTTCCATTCCAGCAAGGGAGGGGGTGTTATTTGAATCAGGGTATGCAAGAAGACAGAGGAACGGAAGTGATTGTGTTCTGTACGATGCAGAATGTGTAGTCAGATGGCGGAAGCCTTCCCATGCCTCTCAGGGTGATCATTAGTAGGAGGCCGGGTCTGAAGCCTATTAGCCAGAAACTTGCATCCAGGCACTCTGAAATGGGATGTAGGCATCCCAAACCATGATGCTATACCAAATGCCCACTCCAGGAAAAATGTTAGTTGGCTGGGAGGATACCTGAGCATGTTTATAGGCTCAAAGAAAAAACTAGTTTTGAGGGAAATTGGGTTGAGGGAAATCATAATAACTAGAGTTGAAGTAAAAGAAATAAACTTGCTTTAACTCATCCTTTGAAACCAGCAAGATAGAGATACAAGAGAAGCATGCAAAAGCCAAAGCCAGACTTTACAACTGCACGTTATCACAGTGAGAAGAAGACAGCGTCTTGTTAATAAAGATCTTTAGAGTCTGTCTTTTGAATCCAGCATTTTGAAGGACTTGTGCATTTGACTTTTGTTAAAAAGTAGACTGTTTAAAGAAGTTCACACAAGTCAAATGGTAGCTGAGAATTACCCAAACTAAGCTGAGGCTGGGGAAATAGTAATGCCAACCAAAAAGAATTTTTTAACAGTTATCTTTAGAGGTGTAGGCACTGTGGCACAGAAGGTGAAAGCCACGGCCTGCAGCACCAGCATCTCATATGGGTGTAGGTTCAAGTCCTGGCTGCTCTACTTCTGATCCAGCTCCCTGCAAATGTGCCTGAGAAAGCAGTAGAAACTGGCTAAAATGCTTGGGTCCATGCACCCACATGGGAGACTTGGATTCAGCCTGGACCAGCCCTGGCCATTGCTGCCATTTGGGGAGTGAAACAGTAGATGGAAGATCTCTCTCTTTCTCTCTTTTCATCTTTCTCTGTAACTCTGGCTTTCAAATCAATAAATAAATCTTTTTAAAAAAAGTTATCTTCAGAGGAAAAAAGTTAGAAAGATGCAGTGTCATGGCTTGAGAGAGTAGACATAGTCTTAACAAATGGAAATGACAGGAAACAAATACAGAATGCCTCTTATTTCCAAATATTTAGTCAAGGAGCATAATCAGGGAGGGGAAAATATAGTCACTTAATAAATAGAAAACACCAATAACAGGATCATATGCAGAGGAGAGATGTGGCACATGAAGAAGAGCTAAAAGAACTGACAATGTTTATCTATCCCTGAGTGGGACACAAGAACTATCTTTTCAAATCTGAAATGGCATTTTTAATTTCTATTATTTATTTAAAAATCACTTATTTAATTGAGAGGCAGAGAGAGAGATTGATTGAGAGAGCACGAGAGAGAAGCTGGTTAATTCCCCAAATGCCAGCAACAGAGTGGGGGCTGGGCTGGACTGGGTCAGGGAGCCAGCGATGCAATCCAGCTTGACAGAAGTGACTCCATTTTGATTCTGACAACTTTCACATCACATGTCATCTAGCATACATCATGTACATGTACTGAAGTAAAAACTTCCGGAAACAATATTTACCCTTTACATATGTGAAGTATGCTGCTTTTAAAATTTAATTTAAATATTCAAAAGGTGCTAGCCATGCTCTTATTAACAGGATTTGAGGACTCATTCATGGATTGTGATTCACCATTTGAAACTCGTCTTAGGAGCTGGCTTTCAGGTTAGGCTGCTGCTTGGGACACCTACATCCACATTAGGCTGTCAGAGTACCCCCTGGATACTCTGCTTCCCATCCAGTTCCTGCCAATGCAGACACTGGAAGGCACAGGATGATGGCTCAAGTACTTGAGTCCCTGCTCCCTCCTCCCTGCTCTCGGAACCCTGGCTGTTGCTGGCATTTGGGGAGTGAACCAGTAGATGGAAAACTCTGTCGCTTTGCCTTTCAAATAAATAACAAGAAATAAATAAACATTGGTGGAGAAAAAGAATCTTGTGGTTATACCAAGACTTTCTCTTCCTTCCCAGAGATCAGGAACCTGCTTTGAGTCTCAGCATGGAATTTCTTTAGCATTCACGGAATTATGGCACGTGTCGCTGAGGGCAAAAACCTTAAATGCACGGTGAGACTTCTTTAGGAATAGGTTTACTCACGGCTTGTTATTTTCAGAAGCACGAAGATGAAAACACACACTTGGATACAGTGGGCAGATTCAGTTCTCCTGTAGTTTGGCAACAGCTGTAGGCTTGCCAGTCCTTAACGACTGCCCTGGCTGTGAAAGAGTTAAGAGGATCAAATGAGAAAATGATGTGAAAGCACTTTGAAAACTAATGTTTTATTGACACTGTTGGATGACCTAGAGGAGAGGAAGAGGAAGGTTGCCACCAAGCTCTCGGGAGGCAACGTCTCATTTTAAAAACTCGGTTCTTGGGGTACCGTTACTTTAACTTCCCACACACCAGTGACTGGGCCCTGGCCCGAGACTGTCATTTAAAGGTAGAAGCTGTGAACTTGCACCGGCTTGACCCCACGTCCCAGCACTCCGCTCGGTCCGCGCATGCGCAAAAGACGCTCCGCGCGCTCTCCACGCAGGTTGGGCAGAACCCAGAGGGCGGAGGAGGCCACGTGGGCCCGTGACGTCATCTCCGGGCGCCGAGGGTGACTAGACTTGCGGTGGGCTTCCAGAGCTCCGCAGCGCTGCCGGCTGCGCTGCCTGGATCCAGGAGGGCGGAAGTGCAGCAGGGCTCGGCTCCGACCTCTGTGCCGGTGCTTTCTGCGGCTGCGCGGGCCCTGGGGGACTGCTGCTCCGGCTCCTCTGCGGGACACACTGTGTCAGGCGGGCAGCCTGCCCTGCCTCCCCTCCGGAGCTCATCAGTCTTGTGTCTCCATCGCTGCGGGAAGCCGGAGAAGGAGCCGGCGCTTCGGGTAGGGTGTGTGTGTTCCTCCCCCACTAGCACCAGTATAAGGAAGTGTCTAGAGGAGGATGAGGGCTGGGGTGGGGAGCCAGGTAGGTGTGGCGAGAAGGAGGGTGAGCGACTGGCGAGAGGAGCGCTGTCCGGGCGGCGATGGCGGGTGAAGGTGGCTCCTCCAGGCAGACTTGGGGTTGGCGAGACGCCGCCCCGGGAGCCCTTGGGCCGGCCTGTGCAGTCTCTTGCGGAATGTGTCTGTTCGTCGTCAAGGCAGGAAATCTAGGATGTAATCGCAGGCTCTGGAGTTGCGTGGAGGACCTGCGTTTTCCGTGGAACATTGTTTAAAACATAATTATTTCACAAGGTGGTTCGATTCTATCCGAATTTGGTATTTGCGCCAATTTACCTTCTCAACGTCGTTCCTTAAGGCTCATTCTAAAACCAGTAATAATGTGTAGCGCTAACAAAGCCATTTTCTGCTGATAAAGCACTTTCGCACACTTTAGGTACACTTTGGAATATTTTTAAGTCGTACTTGAACTTGGGAAACCTAGGAAACCGATTGCTTCTAGATTTTTCTGAGGAGTGAGGAAGCAGGGCAAGTCTGTAGTAATCAAAACACAGTGACTTATCAAACAGCAGCTGAACTCCAAGGCCTGCTGGTTCACTTGATAAATCTCAGACCTTGAGACTGTGGGAGCTGGGTTCTGAGCTGAACTCTGAGGATGTTGGCTTGAGGGTAGAAGTTGAGAGGAATTTTAAATTTTACACCGGCTTTAAACACGTGCTTTGATCTTCAATGTTGGCTTCGTTTAAATTGGGGGGGGGGGGATGAATGGGATTGTGTGGATGTGGGCTTGGAGAAAAGTGTGTCCCCTTCAAGTGTGGGCTGTTTTCGTTAGTTTCAGTCAGGGACTGAAGCAGTAACAACAACAATGAAGAAAACTGTACAAATCCCTGATGTCATAAAGTTCACTTTGAGGGTGGGAGGAGAAGGTATTAATACAAAAAGAAAAATATATATCAGGTGGTAAAAAACTGAGAAAAGAGAAAGCTGGAATGGGGAAAGTTGGCAGTGTGAGTAGATCACAGTGGATAGCTTAGAGAAGATGAGCTTTGAAGGAGACTGGAAGGTGAAAAAGAGCAGTGCTGGGGAAGAAGCTGTCCTGGCTGTTAGGAGGCTCGGACAGGAGAATGCCAGTTAGTTTGGCTGGAAAAGGATAAGCAAGGGAAAAGAGTAGTTCTCACTCAAGTGGATGAGATGAGTTTCCCTGTGAATGACATTTAAATATATGTATATTTGAAAGTTTGAGGAAGAGACACAGAGATCTTCCATCTGTTGGTTCACTCCCTAGATGGCTGCAACAGCCAGGTCTAGGTCAGGCTGAAGCCGGAGCCAGGGGCTTCATCCAGGTCTCCCACATCGGTGCAGGTGCCCAGTCACTTGGGCCATCCTCTGCTGCCTTCCCAGGCCATTAGCAGTGAGCTGGATTGGAAGTCGAGGACCAAGGACATAAATCAGTGCCCTTATGGGATGCCAGTGTCAGAGGTGGTGGCTTTACCCGCTGTGCTACAACACCAGCCCCGAAATGGGTTTTGAGTAATGGATAGTGGATCCAATCAGTCTTAAAAGGCTGTCTTGAGGGACCGCCGTTGTGGTATAATGGGTTAATCCGTCTCCTGCCCCTGCTGCTCCACTACGGATTTACCTCTCTGCTAATGCGCCTGGGAAAGTAGCAGAAGATGGCCTGCCCAAGTGCTGGGGCCCCTGTACTCACATGGGAGACCAGGAGGAAGCTCCTGGCTTTGGTCTGGCCCAGCTGGTCGTTGTGGCCATTTGGAGAGTGAATCAGTGGTTAGAAGGTCTTTCTCTCCTCCCTCTGTAATGCTGCCTTTCAGATACCTAAATCTTTAAGGAAAAAAAAAAAAAAAGCCCTGTTTGCTAATGTTAACTGTATATATGACAGGCGGAAATGGGAGCTGTTACTAAACTGTTTTTCTTTACCTTGTTAAAAATCAAGGTGACTGTATCTGGGGTAATCGTGGGCGTGGTTATAAATACCCAGATTTTAGATGTGTTTCTAAGCTAGAGCAGTCAGATGTATAAAACTGGTTAAGGATGACTCCAAGGTTTATGGCCTGATTAAAGAGAATTACCACTTAGTGAAATGGACTAAATTACAGAGTAAAAGAGGAGAGGATGAAGGAAGATCTAAAATCATTCACTTTCGCACATGTTCAGTTTCCAAATGGTAATGTCAGTATACAATAAAGCATAGGAAGCAAGTTCAGAAGAGAAGTCTAGGTGATACCTGTGGTGGTTTTAAGTGTGTAAATGGTATTGAAAACCAACAGATTTTCAAAGGAGTGGTTTAAGGATGGAGCCCCCTGGGGCGTTGCAACTTTTAGAGATTTCTCTCTCCTCCCACCCTGCTAGGGTGGGTCTCTTCACTGAAGTCCCTTTTGAGAAATATTGATCCACAGTAACAAGGTAGAGAGAAATGGAAAGCAAGCTTATTAGCTGAGGGAAAGGACACAGCTTTGTGAAAATTGAAAATGCAAGGAAGGAGAGGGATGAGATTGGAGAGTAGGAGAATAAATGGACTAGGAAATATAGGAATGCTGGGCAGTACTCAGTGCCTACTTTGAGGTTAGTACTCATGAATGTGAAAGGAGACCAGCCTGAATAATTCTCTTAATTTATTTCCATTTGAAAGTGGCGGGGTGGTGGTGGCAGTTTGGGGTAGGGATGAGGAGCAGAAAAGCAGAAAAGCAGGCAGACTGGGAGAGATCTGCACACTTCCATTCCTTAAATGCCTGTAACATCTGTGGCTGGGCCATGTTCAAGCCACCAGCCCATAACTCCATCTGTGCCTCCCACATAAGTTGCAAGGACTCCATCCTTGAACCGTCATCTGCTGTCTCCCAGGGTATGCACTTGCAGAAAATTGGAATCATAAGTGGAGCTGGAACTCTAACCCAGGCATTCTAACATGAAATGCACCTTAACCACCACAGCAAATGCCAGGCCCACCTAATTCCTTTTAAATGTTTACAAACTTATTCTAGTAGGTGTTTGATATTTGAAATAATTTCTAGGGTTGAGCTGCTGTCTGCAATGCTGGCATCCCATATGGACACCAGTTTGAGTCCTGGCTGCTCCACTTCTGATCCAGCTCCCTGTTAATGCACCTGGGAAAGCAGCAGAAGAAGGCCCAATTTCTTGGGCTCCTGGACTCGTGTGGGAAACCCAGCTTTGGCCATTTGGGGAATACACCAGCCGATTAAAGATTCTCTCTCTCTCTAACTCTGCCTTTCACATAAATAGATAAACCTTGGTGTGTTTTTTTTTTTTTTTTGGTTTGTTAATTTACTTGAAAGGCAGAGTTACAGAGAGGCAGAGAGAGAGAGAGAGAAATCCTCCATCCGCTGGCTGACTCCCCAAATGGCTGCAATGACCAGAGCTGGGCTGATCCGAAGCCAGGAGCCAGAAGCTTCTTCCGGGTCTCCCACACAGGTGCAGGGGCCCAAGCACTTGGGCCATTCTCCACTGCTTTCCCAGGCCATAGCAGAGAGCTGGATTGGAAGTGGAGCAGCTGGGACTCGAACTGGCGCCCATGTGGGATGCCAGCACTGCAGGCAGCGGCTTTTACCTGCTGTGCCACAGTGCTGGCCCCAAATAGATAAGTCTTTAAAAAGAAGATAAAAAAAAAATTTCTAGGCAATTGGAGACTTTGTCAGCAAAAATAACTCTGGGCAGTAGGTTAATTATTTGGTGAATGACTGGCTTTTTAACAGATGTTGTTGGGCAACTACCACGTCCCAGGCCTAGAACCAGATGCAAAAAATAGAGCAGGCCAGCTGAGGTAGTCTTTGCCCTCAAGAAGCTAAGTTCTAGTAGATTGCATCATGGGGATTTCTGTTTCCAACATGTTGGCTTCCAATTGGGTAGATGGTGATGATAACCTGTACATAGGAGAGAAAATTGTTCCAAAATGTGAAATTTGTTGAATTTAAAGCATGATTGTGCTGATTAGTAAAAGTTGTAAGTAGTTAGATTTATATATTTATGTTTTCCCCTTATTTAACAAAAGTTACTGACCATGCTATGTGTTAATTATCCTAATATTGGGAATAAGAAGGTATGTATGACTCAATTTCTTTCTTTTTTTTTAAGTTTTATTTATTTCTTTGAAAGTCAGATTTACACAGAGAGAGGAGAGGCAGAGAGAGAGAGAGAGACAGAGAGAGGTCTTCCATCTGCTGGTTCACTCCTCAGTTGGCTGCAACAGCCAGAGCTGTGCTGATCTGAAACCAGGAGCCAGGAGCTTCTTCCAGGTCTCCCATGTGGGTACAGGGGCCCAAGCACTTGAGCCATCTTCTACTGCTTTCTCAGGCCATAGCAGAGAGCTGGATTGGAAGTGGAGCAGCCAGGACTTGAACCGGCACCCATATGGGATGCCAGCACTGCAGGCGGTAGCTTAACCCGCTACGCCACAGCACCGGCCCCATGACTCAGTTTCTTTCATTCTTGTGCTCTGCTGAGAGGAACCAGGAGCTCCATCTGGGTCACCCACATGAGTGGCAGGGAATCAAGTACTTGAGCCATCATCTGCTTCCCAGGTGCTTTAGCAGAAAAGTGAATTGGAAGTGGAGTACCTGGGACTTAAACCAGGCACTCCACCAGGATACAGCGTGTCCCAAGTGGTGGCATAACCCCCTGCACCACAAGGTCTCCCCTGGTAGTACATTAGACTGGAGATTAATTAGGGGAAAGCTTACCAAGGAGCTGATAGTAAGCTGACCTTTAGGAGTTGGCTAAAGAAGAGGGAATGAGTGTTCAGAGGGGCCGTGGAAACATGAGGGAACCGTGTTTTAAGCACATCCACCATAACCCTGTGAGAAATGGAATTGTTTCATTTTACATATAGGAGATTCAGAGAGGATGAGGTTGTTGTCTATGGACGTGAAACTGGCCGGCGCCATGGCTCACTAGGCTAATCCTCCACCTTGCGG